TTTCCAAAAATCAGGGACTTGCACCCCCATTCCCCCCTCTCCTACAAAAAGCCAACAAGCTCTCACTGAGCTAACAAGCTGACAGTGTCACACTTGCGGGGTCCTGGCTATTTCCTGGTGCACTTCATGGATCTACCCATGCTGAGATGAAATTACATGTTTTGTCTTTGATACCGACCTGAGAGGAGTGGAGTGTGTGCCCAGTGGCAGCTCTGGAGGGTGGCTGTCCAAACTCACTGATTTAGAATACCTGTCGACCTGAAAATGTAACCAATGCCTATAATGGTTTAAAAACGCTTTAGTCATCAGGCTGGCTACTGGAAAGAAGCAGCAGTTGACGAGTAAACAAAAACTAAAGTAAATGTTTTCCCTCATAGGACACACCTCTTTCACACTCAATAAAAACTGCTGGATTAAAAACAACMAAATTTGTAAGTGAGACAGGGTAGTTTTTGGCCTTGTTTACATGTGAACTCAGAAACGTTAAAAATTTACTTTTTTTTAATTGTGGAAAGTTCCACGTTTACTAAACTGTGATCACAATCACTGACTGCCAAATACACTTAATCCACCATAGTTTTCATGCCAGATCACTAGCTGATGCTGTCATTTCTGKATTTCAGTGACCCAAGATGCAGTGTAGCACCTACAGTATATGGTCTGTGTCAGAAGGTCTAATAAATCAAAAAACAAGGAGCAGCACAAACAGTACTCTGCTATCCACCATCATTACTGCTGTTCACAAGTGCAGACAAACTACTGACTGCAGCCGTAGGTGTTTCTAAAAACTGTGTCTTTGTTTTGGTTAACGAAGCGTTAATTTCACTGAAACACACTATTTAAACAGGGCCTTCACTACAAGTTGAGTTAAAACGAACAACCTAACAATCTTGTTACATTTTTAAAACTTGGGTTGGTGCTGGCTCTGACTACCATTAAATTTAGTAAGCTCCAACTTATTTATTTTAGAAGCCCAAACTCGCTCTCTAGTACAAATTAAACATTTTAACAAAGGCAATAATGGTATGGTAGAACAGGTTGTTACATCTCAACGTAACACGTTGCTCAACGAGAAGGGGCTGAATCCCCTCCCAACCTGGGGGCCTTTCCATGTGTAGTTTAGATGTTCTCTTATAGGAGCACACTGTTGGTCACTATGTGTCCCTGCTATGGACTTTTGACCTGTCYAGTCTGTCTCTTGCACAGTTGGAGATATAAGCAGCTCCCAAAAATTCAGTATAGGTTAATTGTTTTTACCATCTTTATTATACACTAAAGCAGAGAACCAGGTTCAGTTTGGTCAACGTCTGGTTTCAGTGTGGCTCAACCCAACTGAAGGGTCAAACCTTAAAAAAGAATTTTTTTTTTTTTTGGTGGAACCAGCCCATCACTATGGCCCAATAAGTTTAACTCAGCAATCCAGCTATCAGAATGACCCAGCAGCTTTTAGTGGCGCCTTAAGAAAGAAAAAGATCTCTTCTTCTGCGTGTGCGCCTCTCTGATGTGTGTCTCATTTAAATACTGCTTATGATAATAAAAAATAAATAAGAACGCGCAGCAGAAATCCTCTCATTTTTCCAGGAGATTGTCGGATCCGTCTGGCGTGAAGCGGCGCGCGCGCATCCCTTCTCTCCCCTCCACCCGTTCTGCAGGAATTATTCATAAACGCGTCGAGAATTAATTCCCGGGATTAAAGAGTTGATTAAGATGTGTGTCACTTTGCTGTCTGAGAACTTATTAAGGGTCTCCTTGGAAGAGGCGGCAGATGGAATTTGGGTCCAATGTTTGTAGATGTTAATTTTCTCGCGGCGCTCCGGCGCCTCCATTTGCATATGATTGAGGCGCAGAAAGGCCGCGGCGGTCCTCGCGCACAATCACCGCACATAATTGGCTGTTCGGGCCRAGAGAAGCCCCTCCGAAGTGATTAACTCATCCACAACTTATTATGACTGATCAAATGGAAAGAAAAAAAAACAAATCTCTGCTTTCACTCAGACTGAGAGGAAATAACTTAAAATGTACAGAAGAGCAAATTTATTCAAACAAAAACTTCTTTTATTATCTTTTTTCTTTATGACAAAGCGCTATTA